GTAGCCCACAGATATGTACAATCAATTATGTTTCAATTAAAAATAATAAAAACATTAGAGTCTAAGAAGATCAACTGATATAATGTGTACACCTTGGGAATTTATTTTCTGAATTAAAAGGTTAAAATGATGTGTTGTTTTTTTTAAAATAATACAGGCATACACTGTTTTCACTGTACTTTATACCTTTGGGTGAGAAATGGACAAAAGTCAACTTTGTACTGACTACCATATTATTTGGAGGCTAGGAGCGCCACGGGGCCGGCCCTCCTTTTCCTTTCTAAGCAATAAAAGGTACTTGTGTTTCACCTTCAAATCAAACAACATGCAATTAATATATGAAGCAATAGCCATTTGAATCAGTTTGCCAAGTAATTTCTATTCTTCCATGTGGAAGAAAACACTGCATTGAAGCTTTTCCATGGCATTGATAAAGCTGAAAACTTTTAAGCATTAAATATGAAAAACCCTATTGTTATTTTAAGTATTTTTCACAGTGAAATGCTGGGAAACTCAAGAACGAAACACCAGATAGTGAGGCAAAGTCCAAAATAGTGGCTAAGAACCAATTCATGTATCCATTCTTTATCTTTTTTATATCTTTTTTCCCGTAGAAAAATGACATTTGTGAAAGTATAGAAAGATATCCTAATTGCCTGTTCCATATGTTTAAATCAGTATTCACTGTTATTGTTTAGTAAATAATGCTGTCCTCATGGTAAGGAGAACATGGAAATATTTGGAGTTATAAGGAAGCTTGGAAAATATCTGGCTCAACCTTCTTATTTTTCAGTTAGGTAAATGAAGTTCTGAGTGATTAACTGAGTTGCCAAAGGCCACATAGCTTCTTAACAGGATTCCTGGAACTAGACCCAAGTTTCCTGACATCTGGTAGGCTATCTTCCCAAAGAAGTGGGATGCAGGGGGATAAAGCCATTTCTTCACCCTTTTTGGTTGTTAATCTTCACATTTCTGAATGGCTACAGTCTGGCTCAACTTCTTTCAAATATTTACTTGACAGATAATGAAAAGATATTATCAGACTACGGGACCACTTTTGTTACAGCATGGAAGAATACTCACAACTACAGGGTGTGGAACAGCAACAAGCATCCAGCACTTGCAGAAATAAATCCAAAGTAAGCACATCCTCTGAAGATTGATAGTACCTAGCACGATTGGTTTACTAACTGTGCGCAATACAAAGAAAGTCATATCTTAACTCTGACGTTGTGAATATCTTCAAGAGTCTGCTTAGGTAGGTTATAAAAAGCCTCCCAAATATAGAGAAGCAGTTTAAAAACTGCTTCCATGTTCAAACTCCTTACAGAAAAAGCACCAGGGCATTATGGGAAGCACTAACATTTCTCCAGCTCTTGATGTGATTCAGAGAGGAAGTCCCTGGCATATGGTAATGCTCAGTACATGATGGTTCTTCTCTCCCTCCCCCTGGAGCTGTACTTCAACAGAACGGTCAAACAAGATAGAAGTCTAGAAGGAAATACCACTGGTTTCAAACTGGGAGGTTATTTTAGTACATGATGTGTGAAAAGCCAATTAAACTTGATATCTGAACTCCTAGGTAACTGGTCAGACCTAGTTTTCCACATCAGAAACCTACTGCAATATTGAATGTTGACTGGATGAAGGCTTTATCTCATATAATTAGAAAAGACATGGCTGTGGATTGGAGCCATTTTGAAACAATAACACCTGTGTGTGAATGCAACAGAGTAGAGTCTAAGTGTGTAATGATAAATATAGTGTCACATATTACACATAGTTATTGATATTCAATGCTGTAGCCCACAGATATGTACAATCAATTATGTTTCAATTAAAAATAATAAAAACATTAGAGTCTAAGAAGATCAACTGATATAATGTGTACACCTTGGGAATTTATTTTCTGAATTAAAAGGTTAAAATGATGTGTTGTTTTTTTTAAAATAATACAGGCATACACTGTTTTCACTGTACTTTATACCTTTGGGTGAGAAATGGACAAAAGTCAACTTTGTACTGACTACCATATTATTTGGAGGCTAGGATTAGCTTTACTTAGCTAAACTGCAGATGTGATTTAAGTGGTGCTAGAAAGGATACTCCTCCCACCACACACACACACACACACACACACACACACACACACACACACAAACACAAACAAACACACTGTTGAAGCCATAGCAACTTGGGGAATCATCTGCATGGGTGAGGTGGTACAGAAGGGTTTTAGAGCACATGTTTGTTAAACTTTATATCTATCAAGAAAAATGACTAGGTTCAACATCAATTTTAGTGAATTTAATCATCATTCGTGGCTATATCAGAAACCTATACTGCCATTTAAATGTAAAAACAGAATTAAAAGGCAAAACCATTTTAGTAATATTAAATGAAAGGGCTGAGAGTTGAAAGAATTCTCCCTCACTAACTATAAGGTTTGTATTCTTAAGCATGTTGAAGGGAAACAGATGTGAACTGGTTTGCCAGGTGGCACTCACAGTGGTGGAGCTCAGGAGGTGACTCTGCCATGACTGTCCACAGTCCAGCATGTGGGCTAGCCCAGAATCTTGCCCTAGGCTCTGCACTGGGAGGCCTGGTCTTATCTTTATCCATGGCTGCATCTGGTTCCCTTTATTTGGACCAGCTCTACAGATTTTAATGCAGGTCTATAGAGGCTTAGCTGAAATGAGTTTTAAAGGATTATAAAATTGTTCTTAGAAAAATGTGTAAAGAAATTGAGGTTATTTAGGTTGAAAAGAAGGCTAAAGAAGGACCTGTTAACTGTAATATGTAGGTATGGAAATTTTTCAATATTGTCACCAAATTAAAAATAAGAAATGATAGTCTTCAATTGTTAGTAGGGGGGTGTAACTTAGAAATATTCCAAACTAATTGTAATTTTTTAGATCTATGAAGGCTTTTCTTCAACTCCTAAAGATTAGGGAAGGCAGCAGTCTGATTTAGCAAGAAGCAGACATTTTTCAACCCTGTGATTCAGGAATCCACAAAAATGAAGTGTTACCTGTTCTTACTTTGGCCCATGAAGAGCAATTTGTTGTCATTTAAAAAACCATAAGTAGCATTTTATAAATAGCTATAGATTTCCCTAAGTTCACTTTCTTTCTTAGACTTTGACAGAACGACCCCTGAGACAAGAATTTGGATGTTTACTGACCCCCTCTTTTATAGCATAACTGTGGTCAAGTTGCCTGATTTTCTTAAATATACTTTTTTCTTTTTGAATAATGAAAATAGGGAGAAAGAACAATGTACATTACAAAAGTAAAGATAGTGCCATTTTTAAGACCTAAATTTTTAGGTACTTTTCTTACAGAAAGTATGGATCTTGCTAATCCATCCACAAATCTTCGCATAAATAGCACACATTTATAAAGTGAACAGGATCGAGGCACAGTCTGTAACCATGGCCTAAATCGGTGACTCACCTTGACTGTCCTGAGAAACTTTTAAAATATGTTCATACTTAGGCTCCATCCTGGACCCATTAAATCAGAATGTCAGGGTAGCACTAACACAACCTTTGCCCCTCCCTCCTCTGCTTGCCTAACTTACGCCCACAAAACACCTATTTAATAAATGAAGAAACTAAAGCTTAGGGGGTAAGTAATCTTTTTTGGATCTCACAGCTATAACTGGAGAGCTGTGATCAAAGCCTGGTATCCTGATCAGAGCAGTACCACCCAGCTTTGTCACACCTGAGACGTTTATTTACTAACATTTTCCTGTGATAACATTTTTGCAGTTTTATTGGTAAAATACTCATAGTCTAAACTCAAACTTTGTTTTATAGCCATCCATTTCAAGGACAGTACTCAGTGTCAGACATGAAGTTAAGATTCTCACAGTGAGTACTTGGAAGAAAATACTGGAAAAATTCTTATGTCTGAATTTATGCCATGTGTTTCATTGCTGATTGGGAATTGTTTTTCTCCATTAGATAGACTTATACTTCAAATAGTCACCAAATATGTACATAACATTCTGTAGCTCAGCACTGTGTGTGTTTCATAGTAAAAACACTGCTGTTCCATGGAGAGTGGTGTGAACTAATAATGGAATTTGCCATTTTTATTTTGGTGAAGTGCATTAAGGAAAGCATAACTGTCAGGGAGACTGAGCTGTACATCCTCACGTCCTCATCTCTTCTTGGTTCTTTTCGTATATTCTGAAAATTCACATGCTGAAAAGCTTAATAAATTTATTTATAACAAATAATGAATAATTTAGCTTCTTTTCTCCGTAGTTCTTTTTTTTTTTTTTTTTAAAGATGTCTAGTAAAGGGATCTTAATCCGTGGCCTTGGTGTTGTCAGCACCACGCTCTCCCAAGTGAGCTACAGACCATCCCCTTCTAAGTAGTTCTAAGTTGGAATAGTTATAGAATGGTTTGTGTGTGCATGTGTGTATGTGCATGTGTGAGATCTTTAAAAATTGTACTTAACACTTCTTTCCTTTACTCAGTTCTGTTCAGAATAGTGAACGTGGCAAAAAGATTGGAAACGTCATGGTCACAACCAGTCGGAATGTTGTACAAACAGGAAAAGCTGTTGGTAAGACATGCCCTAGCCAGGAACTGATTGTAATCATAACACATCTGTTTTCTGTCTTTAATATATAATTGATAAAAACATAAAGTTGTAGAAACCTGTGTATCACATAATAATAAAGAGGGTTTTTTAAATTTTTGTCTTACTCATTAAAAAAATTCTTGTGGCTCCAGATAATATCAAAGCTCAGCAAATTTTTTTGCCACATCTGATGGAGAACGACAAAATGAAGTCACTGTTCTGTTACCAGGATTCAAACTCCACTGGAGCTTTTTCCCCCATTCCCTGCGCTGCTGATGGTTCTTTATAAATGGCAGAGACTCATAATAAAGTAGACATTAGGAGCTGCTTACTGTTTTCTGGAGTAGTGTCATACACACACGCACACACACACACACAAAAAGTATGAAACCAGTGGTTGTTTTTTGTTGGAAAGAACAACAATATTTATAAAGTCCTTATAGACTGATAAAGAGGAAAAGATACAATTTACCAGTATTCAGATGAAAGAGGAGACATCACTATAGATCTCTATAGATCTTACAGAATTTAAAAGGTTAATAGGGAAATATTGTGAAGAACTTTATGGCAACAAATTTAGCAGTGTATATGAAATACAGTCGTCCTGCAGTATCCACAGGGGATTGATTCCAGGACCTCCCATGGATACCAAAATCTGTGGATGCCCAAGTCCATTATATAAAATGGTGCAGTATTTGTATATAACCTACACACGTTCTCCTCTGTACTTTGAATCATCTCTAGATTACTTATAATGATTAATACAATGTAAATGCTATGTAAATAGTTATGCTGTGTTGTTTTTTTTAATGTGAGTTACTTTTTATTGCTGTGTTATTTTGTATTTTATTTTTTTTTCCCAAATATTTCTGATCTGCCGTTGGTTGAATCAATGGATGTAGAAACTGCAGATAGAAAGTCAACTGTATACAAATTCTTTGAAAGACTCAAATTACCAAAACTGATGCATTAAGAAATAGAAAATCTGAATAGCTCTATACCTATTAAAGAAATTTAATTCAAAACTTCACCACAAGTTTTTTAATTTAATCCAGGCACAGGTGGCTTCACTTTGAATTCTGTTAAACATTTCAGGAAGAAATAGTGTTAATTTTACACAAAATCTTTCAGAAAGTAGTAAATGAGGTAATATTCCCCACTTCATTTGATGAGGCCAGTACTACCCTAATATCAAAGGCAGACAAATGGTAGCATGTTATATATACTCCTTTGCACCTAGCTTTTTTCACTTAAGATATTTTGAAAGATATTTTGAAAATTGTTATATCAAGTCTAAACAAAGTCCTCATTCCTCCTTTTCTATAATTTTAACTTCTTATTTTGATATCATTTCATACTTAAAGAGACATCACTATAGTACAAGGAACTCCCAATTATATCTGATTCATCAATTGTTTACATTTTGATCCATTTACTTCTCATACCAATATGTTTTAAAAATAGGACATATCTCCCTCTGTAGCTCTTGGGAGAGATTGATTAACCTTTGCTGAACACAATTCAAAAGGCTCAGAACTAGGTGATCTCTTTGTAGGAGTCCTTACAGCTCCAGCATTCTGTATAACTAGAGACAGACAGAGTGAGAGAACTCTGCAGACTCATTTTTGTTTGGTTGGTGTTTTTTTGGGGGGGGGGGGGGGGGCTGGCCTGTAGGTGATCTAAACTTGTGACCTTGGAGTTATAAGGCTGCGGTCTAGCCAACTGAGCTAACAGGCCAGCCCCCTACTGACTCATTTTAAATGACACAGAACACATAGCCCTACCACTAGGTTCATTTTACTGCAAAGAAATGGAATTTGGTGTATTAGCACTTATTTTCATAATATTGTAATATTATGCATTTGACTTTTGAGTTTTTATTTTTTAATAGAAAAATTCCACTTCATTATAGTTTTATGATGTCAATTGTTACTGTTGCTAACAGTGAAATCCTAAAGCCAGTTCTCTTCCACACTCCCCTAAGACTAATGGGAGTATATAATTCAACTTAAGTAATTTCACATTAGCATCAACTTTTGAGATAATGCTCTTTAACAGCAAGGTAGACCTGAAACAGATAGAGTTCTGTATGTCTTTGTTTAATGTAACATCTTTTTAGAGGACAAAAGCAAATTTCCCTACAACAGTCTAACCAACCACTCTTCCCTGTGTGTGTCGTTATCAATTATTATTTGATGAATACCGTGAGAAGGCTTAGGAGAATAGGCTCCTACACCAAGAAATTATCTAGTTCCCTATAAGACACTTCCATGCAAAGTAATCATTTTGAAACTAGAAGTTTATGTGGTATTTTATTAACTATTAAAATATTCGTGTGTTCTGGCCGGCCCGTGGCTCACTCGGTAGAGTGCGGTGCTGATAACACCAAGGCCCCAGGTTCAGATCCTATATAGGGATGGCCGGTTTGCTCACTGGCTGAGCGTGGTGCTGACAACACCAGGCCAAGGGTTGAGATCCCCTTACCGGTCATCTTTTAAAAAATATATATATATTGGTGTGTTCTAGTGAATTAACGTTTATTGATTAGTATTAGTCTTTTTTTGTCTCTTAACCAAAGTTAAGACATTTTTCCTCTTGTTTTTCCCCTTCTTTCTCCCAGGCCAATCAGTTGGAGGAGCTTTTTCCAGTGCAAAGACAGCTATGTCTTCATGGCTTTCTACTTTCACCAATTCCACCCCACAAAGTCTCACTGAGCCACCCGATGGGAAGCCCTGAGCAGGTCATCAAAGGTTGCTCTTGCTTTCTTAGGTTTATGTGTTCCTTGTCCATCTGCTGCTCCCAGACTGTTCTTCATCATCAGCCACAGGTCCACAGCAGGGGATTGATACTTCAAACTGTTTACATGGACAGTTGCCTTTTATCTAAATGAATGTTGCAGGATGCTGAAAAGATGAAATCACAGCCATAGCAGGGATGGCTTTCCAGGTTGGGGTTTAAATCGACTACTTTTATTTCAGCCTGAGCCTGATTAAAACACACAATGAACCTTCTAATGAGTTTTGAGTTCTGACATTGTACATTTGCTTACTTTAGAAAAGTTTTTGCTTATGTAAATTTTGTTCTGTTTTGCTGTTTGAATATCTAGTTGGTCACTGTAATTTATATTTGCTAAAATTAAGTTATATTACTATTTTAATTTCTTTAATGTTGGCCCTAAAATGTGCTTATGAAGTTAAAGGGCCATACAGTCTACCCTTTATTATTTTGCTGAGTTGTATGATGATGTTTTGTCTGTTTTCTACCCACATAACACATTTATCAGTTTACTTCCTTCCAGAAATGTGAACATCAGAAGTGGTAGTTCTGAGGATGAGGTGTTCTGTTCCATATTTCTAATTTGTTCTTTCCAAATCCCTTAAAACTTGCTTTGGGGCATCAAGGAGTGTCACCGTGCTTTCCTCCTCTTCCTAATTGTGCAAGTGGGTGTGCAGAGAAGTAGTGTAGTGGTGGTTGCAGTGATGTTGAAACAATTTAACATGAATGTGTCTATAGGGCAGTATTTTCAAAGACCTGAGTGCTAGATTTGTCAATCCTAATCACGTTGCAGTCTTTTACAAGCGTTTTTTTTATCCAAGGTTTGTGCCTTCTATTTCTTCTTTTGACCAGTTTTTCATTGAGTGTTTACAGACCTACAAGTTTTCTCTAGTCTTATTCTTCCTAAAGCGTTTCGAGGCACTTGGCCTTCTTACTTCCCTGAAAGAAAATCCTCCTGTAATCAATCCCTGTGCTCTTCTGAAAGTATTTATAAAAGAAGAGCAAGGTGGCCCATAAATATTAAATAGAAACCTCATTTTAGCTCACACTTAGAAAAACAAGAGGTAAGAGAAGAAAACTACCATTACATCAGTCACCTGTTTCATAAAGGACATCTGGCCTCTTGTTAGACACATGCACGTGTGTGCCATCTACTGATGATTTGTACACAGATGCACTTCATGTGTTTGCCTTGCTCAGCTCTCATTTGCTTTTCCAGGGGATCTTGGATAGCTGTTCTCAGGGAGTACTTTTGGGGAGCAGACTGCCTTTGAAGTAACAAAGGCTACTTGGAAAATATATTGTGAGTATAATCTGCATATGATATAAACAGTGTTGTGAAAACAGGGAGCCTAATTAAGAAGGACACTGGTTATATTTGAGTTACCCCTTATGAAATATTTATTTAAGAAGTAAATCCTCCTAAGTCTTGTGAAATGAACATGGGAACAAAATCGCAATATCCTTAAATTTTCCAATTTGTGTTTTAGGCCAGCAAATCTAAAAGCATACTTCCATTTGAACATAGTAATACAAGAATTCAGTGATGATAAATTGAAGGGTTTAATGTGAGAACTCCATTAATTTCACTTCTGTCAGGTAAGTTAACCTCAGGAAATATTAATGGAAGAGAAGAAAGTAATACCAAACAAAATTTTTAAAAATACTTAATCAGTTTTGCCATGAGACTATAAAGAGTTCATTCTGACATCTTGTTTCATGAGGCCTCAGCATTAGTTGGAGTGCAATAATGTATTCATGTGCAATTGTTACCTCTACTGCCAGAAGATCACACTGCTAGAGAGCTAGGAGCCCTGTGAGGGGTCAGCAGGCAAGATGCCTGTCCTTCATTTAGTTTGTATGGTTTGTGTGATTGGGGTAAGCTCACATCTCTCACTGTTCAAAAGAAGCCCAACCCATACGTTGGAGTCCTCTGAAATAAAAATGGTCAAGGAAAATTTAACTTTGCTTTACTATCACTTGTTCCCCATTTGAACATATACTTTAATTGAGCGTTGTTAATGTTTCTTCAGTGATGATAAATTGAAGGGTTTAATGTGAGAACTCCATTAATTTCACTTCTGTCAGGTAAGTTAACCTCAAGAAATATTAATGGAAGAGAAGAAAGTAATACCAAACAAAATTTTTAAAAATACTTAATCAGTTTTGCCATGAGACTATAAAGAGTTCATTCTGACATCTTGTTTCATGAGGCCTCAGCATTAGTTGGAGTGCAATAATGTATTCATGTGCAATTGTTACCTCTACTGCCAGAAGATCACACTGCTAGGAGCTAGGAGCCCTGTGAGGGGTCAGCAAGCAAGATGCCTGTCCTTCATTTAGTTTGTATGGTTTGTGTGATTGGGGTAAGCTCACATCTCTCACTGTTCAAAAGAAGCCCAACCCATACGTTGGAGTCCTCTGAAATAAAAATGGTCAAGGAAAATTTAACTTTGCTTTACTATCACTTGTTCCCCATTTGAACATATACTTTAATTGAGCGTTGTTAATGTTTCTAGTTAAGAGTTCAACTCCTAAAGTGGTCACTTAACTGTCTTTCAACATAAAACGACTCAGAAGACAGAATTTTCATCATGGAAATGGTCAAAACCCCATGCCCATATTTCCTTCAGGTTCTGGGAGGTGTTGGAGTTTTCAAGGAACATAGGCCATTATATTGTTGGCAGGGGCCCTGAGGCCAGCATAATTGAAGGCAGGAAGCCTGGCCTCTTGTCCTGTGAGTCTACATACTTCAGGCTTTCATTCTAGACTCCACCTACATACTTCAGGCTTTCATTTTAGACTCCAGCTGAGTGAACAGCTTAGAAGCGGTAGCCCCCCTCCAAACACTGGCTCTGTGAGCCAGAGGAGCCAGCTCCGTGCCATCTTCTGACATATCACTGGTAAAGGTGTGTGTGTTGGTGGCAGTGTTTGCACCAAGGCATTCATGTCTAAGAACTGAGTGTTTGGTAACTAGGCCTGCCTGAGGGAGATTGTGTTAGCCAGCCTTTTTCAGGTGTGCCAGGCACACAGACTACATCTGTAGCTTGGTGGTGGCTTCACTGCTGTCCAGATAACTTAAGTGTAGTGTTTGGGAAAAGTCCCTCATATAATTTAATTCATGAGGTGCTGTAATGACAATGGTATAGATAAGGCAGAGAGGTAAAGCTACAGCATGGTCTAGATAGATAGAAAAAGTTGCATGTCAAAGGCTTAGAATGATTTTGCATATGTATTTGGCTCACATAACCAGTGTGAATAGTCTGTCCCCAAATCCATTAGTGATTCACTAGTCCCCAAGCCCTAAAACAATTCTCATCTACTTTTGCTTTAAGAAAAACAGCAGCAATATACTTTTTTTTTAAATAAAAGATGACCAGCAAGGGGATCTTAACCCTTGACTTGGTGTTGTCAGCACCACGCTCTCCCAAGTGAGCCACAGGCCGGCCCTAGCAGCAATATACTTTGGCAGAAACCAGAGCATATGATGTGACTTCCCTCAACCTTCTGCTTTCTAAGTCCTATACAAAGCATTTGATGTTTTTTAGAAAAATTTCTTTTGGAAAGCCAAGGAGAAAGCAAATTAGAAAGAGGAAATGAGAAGTTGTTGTGTGGCTGACCAACAAGGTACTTAAAATCTGAATGAAAGTGTTTTGAGAGCAGTATTTAATACGCTGAAGATTGTAAGAATTCTTTCAGAAAGAATTTAGAATTTTAATCTGCTAGTTACAAGTTTTAAAATGAACCTCCTGCTAGCTACAAGTTTTAAAATGAACCTAATATAACATTATCTCCCTGTTAGGTAGGTACTGTTATTATTTTATATTTTGTGGAGAAAAGTTTTGTGGAAGTTACAGCCAGTGGTCTTTTTCCCTCAAGTGCTAGTGATGAATTTGGGAGCATTTCAGCTCTATAAGGAGCCAATGTACTGATCCTTAACCTCATGTACTTGTCTGCTTCAGCAATTATGGAAAGTAGCCTGTTAGGACAGTAGCTATTAAATGTTGTCTGTTATTTTATTGGAGAATTGGGTGGGACCCTTGAAATGACATCGACATTTGCATGCTCTGATTTTTTATCAGAGATGGCAAGGTATTTCCACCCAGTCCCTTGGTAGCCTTTAGACATGGTAGAGAATGCTGCCCTGATAACTTGAAAATGATTGTTATTCCACATAGCATAATGTGCCACTAGGAGTTTTTTCATTCCAAGTCTTTGGACTTCGCAACATTGGAATTGTTTTTTCATAATTTCCAACATTCCGTAAATATTTGTCAAGGACAAAGAAAAGGAATGTGGATCTTTATTCTTTTCATGTAAATAATTTTGTACACACGACTTCCTGCTTTCGTTATGAAGGAGAAGAAACTAACTCCCTTGTATGTTAACTCTAAAATTAAAAATTGTGCATGTCTGAGGGGTTGAATATATTTTGTAAAACTCTAAATACATTTGTATTTCTGTGCTGTTCTGAAGTTTACCTTTTTACCTATATTAATTAAAGATATAGAAACTATATATTTAAATCATGTAAATAGAACATAATTTAGGGATTTTTTCCAATCTTATTGTTTGTCAGGTTCTCAGACACACATAGTATGCTGCTCAAATTTTTTGTGTGTGTGCAATATAAATATTTGAACATTTCAGTCAGGTACTGATCCAGAAAAGGTAATGGAAGTTTTCAGAAAGCTTCTGTTCTTAGAAAATATTTTGTTGTTTTCTTGTTTTATAGCTGCAAAAATAAGATCAAAACTTGGTCATTGGTTTCTAAATTGGGGAAGCATTTGACTAATGAGTTAGCGAAGGCATTCAGTAGTTGCAAATATAGTTTAAGTATTTGAGATTAAAGGCTTTCCACAAACACTTTCTAAAAAAGTTTAGCTTAGAAAACTTAGGAAATTTTCTTTTTTTTTTTTTTTTTTTAAAAAGATGACCGGTAAGGGGATCTTAACCCTTGACTTGGTGCTGTCAGCACCACGCTCAGCCAGTGAGCGAACCGGCCATCCCTATGTGGGATCCGAACCCGGGGCCTTGGTGTTATTAGCACCGCACTCTACCGAGTGAGCCACGGGCCGGCCCGAAAACTTAGGAAATTTTCTAAGTGAGTTAAACTGTGGTACATTTTGATCAGAAAGGTAGTTTCTCTTTGCTCTAGTAATAGTATAATTTGTAGTAGTAGTTCTTTGTTTAGTGTTAAAATTATAAATCACGTCTAATCACACTGAATTGTAAAACT